GGGGGGGGGGGGGGGGAGCCCAGGCACTGGCTAGCAGGGAGTGCCCGGCGGGGGCACGCGGCGAGCTGGGAAGCGGCAGGCCAGGTGCCGAGCCCGTCTGGCCGGGCGATCCCCGCAGGCACACCAGCCGCTCTGCCAGCTCCTTCTGGCTCTGCGGGGTCCCTGCCTGGGGTCCCCGCACAGTCCTGGGCCGAGCAGCCGGCCCACTGGGCCTGGCAAGCGGTTGGCTGCAACGGGGGCTTTCTCCAGCCGAGCAGGGGCCGGACCCCGGGGGGGGGGGGCCGCCACAGAGGGTGCCTTCGCACGCCCCCCAGGCGCCACATCCTGGCACCAGAGGCGACCCAGGACTGGCCAGCAGTAACGATGTGGACGCCACGAGCCCCTCGGGGGCTGCCCGTCCAGCTCTGCTCCCAGAAACACACGTCCAGCCCAGCTCTGCTTTCTCTGAGCGTCAAAAGACCACGAGCAAAACAGGTTCTGCGTGTGGAACAGCTGGAAATGAATTACCGCAGCGTCTGCAATGACACCAGGAGCTACCGAGAAACCAACCGCCGTCTAGTTTGCCCCGACCCTTTGCATATTTTAGAAACAGAGCAAGTCGGAAAGGGTCTCCCGGGCCATCTAGTCTGACCCCCAGCTCTGGACCGCTCCTCCCCTGCAGTCCCCAGTGCACGGCTGCCCAGCCTGTCCTTGAACACCCTCCCCCGATGCCCCCCCACCTCCCATGGAAGCCCCTTCCATGCCCTCGGGGTCCCGACCCTCAGGAAGCACTTCCTGGCATCCACCCTGAGGCCCACTTCCTTGAGCTTTGACCCACTGGAACGCATCCGGTCACGGCCCTCCTCCACATGGCATCCCCTCACATGCCTGTAAGTCACGGAGCGATCCCATCAGAGTCTCCTCCTCTCCAGGCTGCAAAGACCCAGCTCCCACAACCTCTCCTCATATGTCTTCCCACCCAGCCGGGCTACTATCCTTGTGACTCTGCGCTGCACTGGCTCCAACCTGGCTGTATCCTTCCTGTAACGAGGGGCCCAAAGCTGAGCACAATACTGCAGTTGTGGGCGCACCAGTCGTGTAGAGTGGCAGTAACACCTCTCTCGATCTGAAAGCCACACTTCTGGCTATGCAACCAAGGGTGGCATTCACCCTCTTGGCCACCGCATCACACGGCTGAGCAAGTTCAGCCTGCAGCCGACCAGCACCCCGAGGTCCCTTTCGCAAGTGCTGCTCTCCAGCCACTTATCCCCTAACCTGCACTTATGACACCCTTTCCTATGCTCCAAGTGCAAGACCTTGCACTTATCCACACTGAACGCCACCCTGTTGTCTCCTGCCCACTTCCACAACCTGCCCAGATCCTTTTGGATCTGGAGTACCCGCTCCTCAGTTGTGGCCACTGCCCCTACTTTGGTATCATCTGCAAATTTAGTCAGCAGACTGGTTCTCCCCTCCTCCAGGTCACTGATGGGGCGGAACAGAATCAGGCCCACGACAGAGCCCCAGGGGACTCAGCTTGTTACTGGCTGCCATCCTGAAGACTCCCCACTGATAGTCCCTGTCTGCTTTTGGCCCGTCAGTCGTGCCCTCATCCACCGGACAGTGCATTGATCTGTCCCACAGCTCAACAATTTCTCCACCGGGATATCATGGGGCACTCTGTCAAAAGCCTTGCTGAAATCCAGGTAACTCACATCCACTACATCCCCTCCATCCAGCCACCTCAAAACCTTGTCATGGAATTCCACCAGGTTTGTCTGGCAGGACCTGTTTTTGGGGAAGCCGTGTTGTGTGGCCGCCAGCCTCCCTCCCCTATCTAGCATCACTAGATCTCTCTCTCTATTATGAGCCTTTCCATTGTTTTTCCTACAATGGACATAAGGCTAACAGGTCTGTAATTCCCCATGTCCCTTCTACTACCCTTTTTGAAAATTGGGACCACTGATGCCACCCTCCAGTCCTCCGGAGCCTCACCCGTTCTCCACGAGGCCTCAAAAATGGAGGCCAACAGATAACAGTACTTCTGGAGTACCCTCAGACTTGGACCATCAGGGCCCTGAGGAGCTCCTCAACTTCTAGGGAGGCTACTCCAATCTGTGCCCCATAACCCCAACCTCACCTAGTCCCCCAGGCAGACTCCCCCAACCCGCTTTGGGGAGAACACAGAAGCAAAACAATCACTTAACATCCGTGCCTGTTCCCCTACATCAGTTCCCAGGTCCCCTCCCTCCCTTTGAAGTGGTCCCACTGCCTGTCTCCCCCTCCTCTTCCTATGTCAGGAAGCACTTAGGACCCCTGGAATATGGAAGGGGCTTCCACGGGAGGAGGCCGAGGCCCTCCAAGGGAAGAGGGACGCCCACGTGCTGGGGACTGCACGAGCGGAGCCGGCTGGAGCCCCGCGGAGCCCTCTGGACTTGCGCTGCTGCTACGCTTCCATGTTCGTGGCGCAGCTATGGAGCTGGCCCCGGGCCCCCACACCGGCCCGCCCGCCCTCCCCTCTTACCGGGCAGAAGTAGGAGCTGTCGGTGATGTACTGGGCGACGGTGCGGTTGCCGGCAGACACAGCCATGAGCAGCAGCAGGGCGTCGCGGGCCTGCTGGCCGAGCAGCCCCTCGTGGTGGATGAAGGGCACCAGGAGGGAGAAGACGACGAGGCTGGCCGGGCTGCGCTCGCCGGGGCTGTGGAAGAGGCGCTCCAGCAGCGGGGGCTCGCGGGCCACGGAGACGCACAGCTGGCTGAGCAGCGGCACCAGCGTGCCCTCCAGCCGCGGCGAGGCCGGGCCGGCGCACTGGCCCAGCAGCCGCAGTAGCGGGCGCAGCACGGCCGGCTGGCGCAGGAGCGGCTGGCGCGCCTGGCCCACCAGCGCCTCGTACAGCTTCAGCAGCTCCACCTTGCGCTCCTCGGGGACGTCCCGCTGCAGGTGCCAGCCCAGCAGGCGCTCCAGCACGTCCTCGGCCGCCACGAACTCCAGGATGGGCCCCGCGGCGCCCTCGGCCCTGGCCCGCTCCTCCGCCAGCAGCGTCATCATCTGGCAGGTGTTGTTGCGCACCACGCTGAGGTCATCCGCCGCCCCCTGCGCCGCCCGCGGGCCCCGCTTCTCCAGGATCCTCAGCACCTGGGGCGGCAGGAGGGTCAGCCGGCCCCCCCCGGCCCCCTTCCCGGCCCCTCAGGGAACGGGCCCTGCTGGCAGGGCAGGGGGCGAGGCAAGCCCCAGGCGACAGCCGCCCTGCCAACGGGCAGCGGGGGGGGCGCGCTGCCCCCGCACCCCCTGGCTCTGGGCAGGCGGGCGGGCAGAGGCCCGTGCTCTTCGGCAGCTTTCCCTCCCGGCACCACGTGGGAACGGGCAGCCCCCCCCACGCTCACCTGAGCCCAGTGGTTCTTGAAGACCATGAGGCACGTCTCGGGGTCCGCCGTGACGGGGCTCTGCAGGCTGGCCGCCCGGCTTGCCCGGTGCCCGGCTGCCGCCCGGGGATTCAGCTTGCTCAGCCAGCTCATCCTCTCCATCTGGCGGGGCCACACGCCACACAGCGATCGCGTGGAGGGAGGGGAAGCGGCAGGTGGGAGGACGGAGGTCACAGGCGGCCGCCTCGGCGCTGCCCGGCGTCTCTAGGGGCTGGAGAGAAGCACCACTGGCCTGGCAGGAAGGGGGCACCGGTCCGTGGGCCGGAGTGCCCCATGCTGCTCCGGAGCTGGCACACAGCTGTGGAGGCGGAGAGGAGCCCTGAGCTGGGGAAGGGGGCTGCTGGGGCCCAGCACCACTTCCTCGGCTCAGCCTTGGAGGTGGGGGGGGACAAGACCCATGCACACAGGGACACGTGGCCCCTCAACCCGTTTCCCGGACTCTCTTGTTGAGTTAGAAAAGCAACAGGGTGGAAAACCAGGCCATGCTGGGGGTGGGGACAGGATGCGGCCCGGCCCGGCCCAACCCACGGGCCACGCGGGGAGCACCTGCCCGCCCAAACTCACAGGAGCTGCTGCTAGCAAGCAGGGCCCTGCGGAGGTGGCACAACCCACCAGCCCAGCACTGCCACCCAGGGCAGGTTCTGCCCCTTCCCATTGCCCCTGCGGGGCTCTCCCAGTTCCCAGCACAATGCAGCCCACGCCTGACCAGGTGGCTCAAGGGGCCACTTCCTCAGGAGCAGGAACTGAACGCCGTCCCGATCGTGTGCAGGCCCGGTGAGGGCCGGCCGCCTGCGCAACATCCCCAGAGACCCACAGAGCACACGTCTCCGGACGCCAAGAAACAGCCTGACCCGAGCAAGCTTGGGCCAGCGTTCCCGCGGGGCCTTCCTCATGGGCACATCCAAAATAGCCTTCGTGCAACTCCGAAAGGCACGCCGCGGGCTCTCAGTGATGGCCGGCCTCGTGCCTGCTTGTGCCCCCTCTCCGATTTCAGCGGGACGTGCCTTGCAGGCTCCTTCACTGCAGCTCCCGCTTCTCTCGCCAGGAGCAGTGGTGGGAGGGGGCCGGCAGAAGCCTCAGACTTCAGCTCCCAGCATCCCCGACTACAGGCCATGCGTCGGCCTGGCCTTGCAGCACAGATCATGGCAGAGCTGAAAGGAGCCCCGCGGCTGCGTCCATCCCCTGCTTGGTGCGGGAATCTGGCCGAGGGCAGGGGTGCCAAAGGGCCCCCCGCCTTCCGAGGCCAGCGACTCAAACTTATGGCTGCTCTTACCACGAGGATGCTTTTCCCAATGTCCGGACCAAACCTGGGCTCCTGCAACGGAAGCCCATTCCTTTCTGTCCCTCAGGCTTAAATGACAGAGACCGACATTTGGGTACTGGAAAAGCGCTATGCAACCTGCTCCCAGTCTTCCCTTTTCAAGGCTGAACATACCCAGTTCCCCATCCCTGCCATCCTTCTTTGGACTCATCCCAATTTGTCTGAGTCATTCCTGACCAGTGGGGTCCATTCCTGACCAGTGGGGTCCATTCCTGACCAGTGGGGTCCGGAACAGAACACAGAACTCGGGGGGGGGGGGGTGAGCACGCCTTGCTTGAATCCTCAGTAATGAAGCGAGCAAAAGCCAGATGCAGTCAGACATACAGCCTGGGTTTCAAGAAAGCCATCCTCAACACACTCAGAACAATGATAAGCAAAGTCCCATAGAAAGTGACTCTAAAGGGAAAAAGAGTCCAAGATGGGTGGGAAATCTTTAAAAAAGGAAAAGAAATTCTAAAGGCAAAAGAACAATTCCATCAAGGAAAAGGTACAGAAGACAACGGGCAAACCCAAAAAGCTACGAGGCAATACGACGGCAAAAGGGGGGACGTGTGCGAAGTGGAAGGGAGGCCAGGCCGCAAAGGCAGAAAACAAGCTGATGGTGGGGAACTGAATCGGGAAGGCTGAAGCGAGGATGCCAAGGGCAACAAAAAGCCGCCTCCAGGTACACCCAAAGCAAAGCACAGGCAAAAGAAATGGCGGTTCAGCCACTCAACCTGAATGGTGAAATGGCAACGGAGGACAAAGAAACGGCAGAAGTGCCCGGTTCCTACTTTGGCTCGGTCTTCTCCCAAAAGAAGACCGGCAACCTTCCCCACCAGCTGAAAGTGAGGGAGGCAGCTCCAGGTCGACAGGCAAAGGCGAAGGGCTGTCGCACGGGGCTGGGCGAGTTCGGCTCTCCAGGGCTCAGTGAACTCCACCCCAGAGTCATAAAGGAGCTGGTGGAAGGACTCTCGGAACCAGAACCATCTCTGAGGATTCATGGACAAGGGAAGTGCCAGACGATTGAAGAAGGGCTAATGTTGTCCCCACCTACAAGGAAAGGGACGGGGGGAGATGAATCTGGGACATACAGACCAGTCAGTCGGATGTCAGTCCCTGGAAGAATCGCTGGAGGGCAACTAGGAGTGGAGCGGTGGCTAGGAGCACGGGACCGGCGCTCCAGTGAGCCGTGTTCTGGTCCCTGTGCGGATGTGGGGCCCACGGGGTGACTTTGGGCCAGGCACAGACCCTCAACCCAGCCTACCGCACAGGGTTCTTGTTGTGGGGATACGATTGAGAGCAGGAAGAAGAGACTGGCATAAGCCACTTGGAGTTTTGTAACAAAAAAGGGGGGTATAAATCCAATAAACAAACAAGCAACACAATTTTGGAGCAAATTATACAGCAGTCAGTCTGCAAACACCTTAAAAATAAAGCAGCAATTACTAGAAGCCATCACAGGTTTCTCCAAACCAAAACCCACCAGACAAATCTAATTTTAATTGACTCAGTAACCTCCCCAGATAGACTGGGAAGGCTGTGGACACAGCACGCACTGACTTTAGCAAAACTTTGGACAAAGTGCCCCATGATAACCTGATGAGCAGACTAACAAAAGTGGACTAAATGGAACAACTATTAGGTGGATCCACAACTGGCTACAAAATTGGACTCAACAGGTGCTCAGCAAAGGCATCTTCCCAAATTGGGGAGGAGGAACCAGCAGGGGCCGCAGGTTCAGTCCTGGGCCCAGCGCTCCGCCACATGTTCGTTCATGGCTTGGATGCGGAAGCACGGGGGGAGCGTCTCAGACCTGCAGCTGACACAAACCTGGGTAGGATAGTGAATTCCCTGGAAAACAGAGAGAAGGTTCAAAGGAGATCTTGACAGGTTGGAATGCCAGGCTAAAAATGGCAGGACATGCCAAGTCCTGCACCTAGGAAAAAGAAACCAGACTCATCTCTACAAGATGGGGAACACAAGCTAAACAGGCGCCGACAATGTGATGCAGCCGCAAGAAAGGTAAATGCTACTTTGGACTGCATTAACAGAAGTATCACTTCCACAGCACGTGAAGTACCGGTTCCCCTCCACTCAGCACTATTAAGACTTCATCTGGAGTCCTTTAAAAAACTGTTTTTAAAAAGTTGCAGAAGAAACTAGAAAGGGTACAGAGGATGATTCCAGGGTTGGAGGCACAGCCCTCTGAGGAAAGATGGGGAGAACCAAGAGGTTCAGCCTCGAGAAGAGAAGACTGAGGGGGGATATGATCACACTCAACAAGCACTTGAAAGGCTGTCACAAAGATCTCCTCTCATTCATTCCAGAGTGAAGGACAAAGGAAACCAGATTTAGACTAGACAATGGGAAGAATTAGCTCACTGTCAGAGCAGCGTAGCAGTGGAATCCATTACATGAGGAAGCTGTGGGCTTCCCCACAACAGAAGCATCCAGGATCCGACTGGACGGGCATCGCAGTAGGACAGTGCACCTTAAAGTCTTGCACTGGCCGGGGTTGGGCCTGATAGCCTTCTGCGCCCTTTCCACCTCTGCTATGCTGCGAGTCCGTATTTGAGGTGAGGTCTGAGTGGGGTGGAGCAGAGCGGAACCCGTCGGCCGTGTTTCTCACCCCCGGGAGGTGGCAGGCCAGAAACGGCCGACTCGCGCATCCCGCCCTCCACCCCCTGGGAGAGCATCGTGTCAGGAGGTGAGGCAGAGACTTTCCAGGGAGACCCCGCTGGTCTTCCGGGGCGAGCAATTTGCTGCCGGGAGGCACTGTCCGCAACCACTCCTCAGCGGGGTGGCCAAAGCCGCCTCTGCCACAGCCGCCTCCTCTGTGCGTTGACCCAGATGCTTCGCCCCAGGCCACCAGCTCCCTCTCCGTGGCCAGACCCAGCCCGCTGACGAAGGCAGCTGCTCCAGCAGGCCGAGCCTGCCCCAGCAAGGGGCACCACGGCACGCAGCACGAGCCGGGAAGGCAGGGTCCCCCGGAGGTGGCAGGACTACCGCTCCCACCTCCCCTGCTCTGGGCGGGCGGTGGCAATGAACGCCACAACCCGCTGGAACGCCCAGGCCACCTCTGCTCAGAGCCAAATCGGGAGCCGGTGCCAGCAGCCTGCAGGCTGAAGGACATCCTCCCATGCAGCGCCGAGCAGGAAGGCCGCAGGAGCCAGTTCACTGGAGTGGCCCGGCCCACACGCCCAGTGCCACCCGTGCTTGCTCACGGCCTCCTGGCTGACGAGCCCCGCCAGCCGGCCACCTCGCCCCTCGAGGCAACACCTCTGCCCCCGATGCAAGCGGAAGCCTCGTCAATCCTCCTCGGCTCAGCCCCCTGCCCCACCTTCTGAAGCAAATACCAGGGCCGGGCAGGGCCGGGCCCAAGGTCAGCCTCCCTTTGCCTGCCAGGAAGGGCCCAGCAGAGCCGCGGAGAGCGGATCACTGTCTCCACCGCCACCAGGCAGGGTGGAGGGTCGCCAAAACTGCATCCAAAGCCTTGCAACGGGACCCACTCGGAAGCCCCCTCCCCAAGGGGGTGCTGATCCCCCTGGATCCACAGGCCTTCCTCAGACCCCTGAAGTGCTGCTCCCAGCTTAGGACAGGGCTCCCCCCACTTCACTTGAACACCCGAGCCCCCTGGAGGAATCCTGGCAGAGCAGCAGTGCCCCCCCGCCCCGGGCTGAGCCCAGGGCTCCAGGCGCGCTCCTGCAGGAGGGCCCCACGTGGGTCTCCGGCTCACAGTGCCCCCATCGCCTGGCACTGCTGGTCCCTGGGAGGGCCCCCCAGCCCCCCGCAAGCTTGCAGAGATAAAGAGGCTCCCACCTAGCCCCCTGGGGGGGATCCACCACGCACAGCCCCACGGGAACAGCTGGGAGCGGACCATCGACGGCCGGAGAGCTCGGCTGGACTCTGCCCCTCTGGGGTGGGGCCGGGCTGGGCCGGGCTGGGCGCCTGGGGAGGCGTGGCCGCCACAGGAGCCGGGCCGAGGAGCTCGCCGGGGGCACAGCGGTGGAGCAGGGCCACCCAGGGCAGCCCGCCCCACGTGTGGCCGGGCATGGGTGGGCAGGCAGGCGGGCAAAGGCCCTCGGGGTCAGTGGGCCCTGCGCCTCGTGGGGGCCCGGCACAGCATCCGCTGCCCAGCCCTGTGCTGCTGCACGGCCCGCGGAGAAGAGCGGGCCTTCCCACGGACACGCTGCCCATATCAGGCAGAGCACGCGGGCGGGCAGAGCGGGGAGACAGCAGGGGGGCATGCGGCCGCCTCCCCGGGACCCTCAGAAGAACGGCCTGTACCCCCCCATGTTCTTCTGGGGCCCCTCACCAGCCCCCCCGCACTCCAGCCCTGGACCTGCTCCCCCACCGGGGGGCTGCGGAGTTTCCAAGAGGCCAGAGCGAGGTGGGCAGGGGTGGCCTTCCTGCAGAGAGGACTCGGGTGCCTCCTTGGCCGAGTCCTCCTTGTGCCACCCTTGGAGGGGCTGGCAGGGCAGTCTTTTGGGGGTCCAGGCTCCGCTGCATGACCGTCTTTGGCCCCCCACTCCTCAAAATGGTCCCCCGCACACCACACTGTGGGTTCAGCAGATCACACCTTTGGCCGGCCATGGCCCTGTCCAGCGGGCAAGAATTGCACAGCTCGGAGGCACCCAAGCCTGACAGGAGGGAGGCAGACGCCGGGGGGGGGGGGGGGAGGTGGCCAGGCAGCCTCTCTCGCTGGCCTTTGGCCATGCCAGGCGGGGACAGCCTCCCGGTGTGGTCAGCCATCCAGAGCAGATGCTCAAACGTAAACCTCCGTTCTTACAAATGTGCGCGCACGGCGCTTCTCCCTTGCGCGCCAGTGACAGCCACCGGCCTCCCCAGCTGGGCGGCTTCACAGGCATTTGGACCGTGACTGCCAGACGTGCTTCCGGCCAGGCCACTGCCTGGGAATTCTGGGCGCTGCAGTCCAAGCGGGCCTGGGGGAGGCTGACCTCCAAATGGGAGGCCGGCACTCGAACCCCGCAGCCCATCTCTCCCCAGAAGGGGCTTCCGCTGGGTTCCCCGAGCCCGAAGAGGCGTTTCTCGGGAAGGAACCTCCTGCTCCGAGGCGCAGCTTGCTGGGCCAGCCCTTTCGCCCTCACCTGCCAGAGGCAGCGACCACCCGGACCCGCCGCAAGCCCCCCGCCGAGGGCACGGCGGTTGGCTGCTCCTGCTTCGGCGAGAGCAGGGAGGGCAAAGCGGCGAGGAGCAGCACCGGGAAGCCCCGGGACGAGCCCACCCAGGGCCTGACAAAGGGTCATGGGGGCCCGGCGTGGGGACCTCGGAAAGCCACTCCTTGCTAGAGCCATGGAGGCTCGGCAGCCACACCACGGCCGCCCAGCCAAGGTGGCCGCAGAGGTGGCCAGCACCAGGCCTGGCGTGCCGCAAGCGAGGCACAGACGCTTCCGCCCTCTCGCCTCAGGCCGCAGCGCAGGCGCCTCTGCCGCTCTGTGGCTGCCCAGGCCTGCCAGCCCTGCCGGCCGTGGCGGCGCTCCAGGGCCTCGGGCAGGACGCGCCCCTCACCTGCCCGGAGGTGAGCCCAGAGCTTCCGTCGGGCAAAGCCCAGCTCAGCATGCGAGCCACCAGACAGCAGCTCCCCCCCAGCGGGCAGATAAAAGGCAGGCCTTCTCACGCAGTGCCGAGCGGACCCACCCGGCTGGTTCTCTCTGGAGGATCAGCATCTCTTCCGGATGGGGACCAGATACATGCGCAGTGGAGGCAGCTCTCCCCAAGGCTTGGGGCAGCAGCCGGCCGCCCCATCCGCCACTGGGTGACCTGCCAGCCCTGGCACCAAGGACCTGCCTGGATTAAGCCAGCCCCCGGGAACCTGGGCAGGAGGGCCAGAGCCAGGGCGAAGAGGAGCACCCCATCCCACTCTCTGGATACCCCCACCCAGCAGGTCCGTGTGGATGCCGAGCGGAGCAGCAGCCGGATGCAACTGTGGCACCGACTGGGGGTCAGGTCCACCGTGGGCTCTGGCTGCCTTGGCAGGGGATCTGTGCCCACGACTGGACTGGGGGCGGTGCTGCCCTGCTGGTCCTGCTGGGCCGCTAGGGGCCTTTCAGGACACCTGCACACATGGCCGACCCCGCCAGTACAGACTGTGTGCAAGCCACTGGGCGTGCGAGCAGCGGCTTTCTGAGCAGAGGCACCGACGAGGGTGCAGCGTGGGGCCGGCTCAGGTTTCTCTCCCAGCTGCTCTGCCAGCCGAGCAACAGCAGTGGCCGAGCGTGACGTGCTTTCCGGGGAGAGGGCAGCTCCCGAGGCCCGCTCTTCTCCCAGGGTGCTCTGCTGGCATCGGGGCAGAGGAAGCCTGTGTGGTCAGAGCCGCTTCAGTCTTCGGCTCATGCCAGCAGAGCGCGCGAGAGGAGGAAGGCTTGGGGCAGGAGGGGAGTGCTGCCCCCCACCCGCTGAGCTCCTGCGGGCCTACCAGAGCGCTCGTCACTTCTCCCGCGGAGCAGGCCCCGTTCCAAAATTGGACGGGCGGCTAAGAATACTCCCGGGGACAGGTGGACAGGCTGCGCACGGTAGGGGCCAAAGCATTCCAGCCCTCCACCCGCCGGGCCACCCAGAGGCGCCAGGAGAGGGACCGGCCTCTGAGGCAGGCAGGCAGGCAGGCAGCGAGCCCAAGCAGGGGCTGGGACCAGCCTCATGGCCTCCCTGCCCCAGATGACCCTCCTGCCCATGTGCGTGGGGCAGCGACAGCAGGCAGAGGGAAGGCCCCGGGTGCAGAGGGGGCAGCTGGCGCCGGGCACCTGGCAGCCCCGTGCCCGGTGGAGGCATCGGCAGGCTCCCTGTGAGCGGCCCTCTGGCAAGCGAGCTGCACTTCCCCTCCAAAGAGGCTCCTGGGCGCCCCGCACCCCAGGCGCTTCCTTCTTCCGACAGGCGTTGGCACCACCTGCAAGCTTGGCCCTCCGCGGCGCATTCTGAGTCGACTGGGCAAGCGGGGAGGCTGCCAAGGGTGGAGGGACGCGCCCCCTGGGGACACCCCCGCCTTGCGCAAACAAGAGCGGCGCAGGCACGGGGCCACAGGAAGCTGGGCCGACCTGACGCCGCGAGCAACAAGGGCGGCCTGTGCCAAGCTCTGCGTTTGGCCCGTTCTGGGAGGGCCGTGTGCCCCGGAAGATCAGACGACCGGGAACTTCCCAGCCCGCCTGGTGCCTGCGCTTCCTGGGGGCAGCAGGAAGCAGCCTCTCCCCACAGTTGAGCTGGTGCTCAGCCCCCCTCCACTGCCCCACACCCACCCCACAGCAGGGAGCAGGAGGGCTGCAGCTGGCAGGGCTGGGGGGGGGCGACTGTGGGGCAGAGCCCTGCCCGCTTACCCCCCCCCCGGCAGGCAGCCAGGCATTCTGAGCCCAGGAGGGCTCCAGAAAACGCCCCGCCCCCGCCGCTGGCTGCCCAGGGCCACTCGCAGCCCTCTCCCCTCCTTGCTGCCCCCCAGAGACCAAGTCCTCCACCTAGGAAAAAGAAACCAAAGGCACCAATACAGGATGGGGAATACGTGGCCCAAGAGCACTGAACAAGGAAAAGATCTGGGAGTAATTGTGGACAGCAGGCTAAACGTGAACCAACAATGTGATGCAGCCACCAAAAGGGCAAATGCTATTTTGGGATACATTAAGAGAAATATTACTCCCAAATCACAAGCAGTAGTAGTTCCCCTATACTCCTCACTAGTCAGACCTCACCTGGAATACTGTGCTCAGTTCTGGGCACCAACATTTAAGAAAGATGCAGAAGAATTAGAAAAGGTCCAGCGGAGGGCAACAAAAATGATCTGGGGTTTGAAAGCACTGCCCTGTGAGGAGGGACTGGGAGAAGTGGGCCTGTTCAGCCTTGAGAAGCGAAGACTGAAGGGGGACATGGGATCCCTCCATAAGGGCCTCCAAGGCTGCCACAAAGAGGAAGGCCAAGGTCTCTCCTCGCTGATGCCAGGGTGTAGGGCACGGAATAATCAAGTCAAGTTGCGGCAACCCAGATTCACGCTGGACATCAGGAAAAGCTTCCTCACTGGCAGAACAAGAGGGCAGCGGGACCAGCTGCCTGGGGAGGAGGTGGGTTCCCCCACACTGGGGACATCCAGAAAGAAGCTGGGCAGCCCTCTGAGTGGGAGGTGTAACGTGGTGACCTGCAACAGCAGGGGCTGGACCTGAGGGCCTCCATGGCTCCCTTCAACTCTACTCTTGTAGGAGTCTAAGATCTCTCCACCAGTTTGGAGGATGCCAGGTTGGGAACGGCCACCTAAGTGTGCCAGTTTTCTGTGCTGTTGATGGGGGGGGGGGCGTACAGCCAAACTATCTAAGGGAAATGCATGTTGCTGCCCTCAAATTTTTACAAGTAAATCGCTAAAAATGCCTACACAGCATGCCATTAAAATAAGATTAAGCATGGTTTGATACGACCCTGATGCTGGGAACCGTCGGAGGCAAGAGGAGGAGGGGACGGCAGAGTGGAGGAGGCTGGATGGGGCCACTGGGGCATGAGGTGTAGGCTTGGGTGGCCTCCGGGGGTGTGGAGGACAGGAGAACCTGAAGGGATGTTTTCCATGGGGTCACGAAGAGCTGGGCACAACTTTGCGCTGAACAATATGCTTCAATATTTACTCAGAAAGTTTTAGGTCAGCTACTTGCAGCCCATGGGCCCAAAATTTTAAGAGGGATGCTTACTGCTTGGCTTTGCTTCTACAGAAAAGTCATGAAATGAAGGTACTAAATCTGATAATTCTAAAGAGCCCTGGAAGATTTTGCAAGACAAGCTAATCGTCTCCTGACATGAACAGTGTACTATGCAAGTTTGGCTCATGGTCACAGGAAAACTTTCTGATTCGATTTTCCCCAGAAAACCCACTTCTCTGCTATTCAAGAGCCACAAAACTAGAATACATTTTTGGTGACTTTTGACCCCAGCCCGGGCAGGGATGGCCCCAGGGGAGCCGTTCTCCTTTGTACCCGGGGGGCCACGTCAGGCCCCATCATCCTCGGCAGAGAGCAGATGACGGGGGAAACATTTCTCCCCCTGCATCGCCACTGCTGACTGGGTCAGTCCTCCAGTGACCCTGCCCTGGAGCCTGCCCTGCTCTGAGGCAGCTCTCCCCCTCCCTGCCACTCCTGGGTTTCCAGCATCCCAAGGCAAGCAGCGCTTGAGCCCAGAACAGGGCCCCCCAAAGCCGGCAGGTGCACGGGGCCGGAGTTTCCAGCGTGACGTGTGCACAGGCTCCCCGGCACACCCAGTTAACCTCTGGCGAGAGGCGGCACAGGAGACTACGGGAGCCCAAAGCCTCCCTCAGCAGGGGTGACACATCCAGGGAAGCAGCTTGACTATGGCTATCGGCGACAGAGAAAAACAACACCGCCGCGAGGGCCAGAGCCCGGCTGCAGCTCTGGTTCCAGAACACCTCCCGGGGCACAGCACTCATCCACAGGGCCAGCGGCTGAACCATGCATCGCCCCGGGCGCTTCGGAGAACGCAGCCCAACCGGACTTCCACCACTGGCAACCGCAGGAGACGGCACAGAGCATGCAGGAGACTGGCCTGGCCCACTGGGCAGCCCTCCTCAGAGGCAAGCCGCTCCAGTCGGCTTGGAGGCATCGGGACCCAGCAGCCAGAGTAGCTGCAGGGGCCCAGAGACCCTGTGGGATCTGCAGGGGGCTGACTTGTCAGGGTGCGCTGATCCCACCCCGGGAGCAGCCACAGCATGCCCTTCTACTTGCAAGCCACCTCCCCGGACAAGACATGCCCCCCCCTTCCACATGAGGCCGGGGGCAAACGGGCCACGCAGCTCCGCAGAGCATCGCAACAGGATGTCCGCTGGGGGAGCCCCTCTCAGGCAGAGGGGCAGCACAGCCAGGCAGCCGGTCAGAGCCCCTAAGCCGAGGCGGGGCCTGGCGCCTCCGACCCCGGACAGCAGAGGCTGGTCCACTAGGTCAGGGACCATCGTGCCAAGCTGGAGGCCAGTGTGGCTGCCACGGGGCCAGAGGTCCACCTGGACCGGAGGGCTGCTCTGGGCAGCCGAGTGTCGGAACCCTGGAAGGCCCCACAGCTCCAGTGCGGGGACTGCAGGCCCCTCAGGCGCCGGAGGAACCCCTTGCCACAAACACATGGGGCGAGATGGAGAACTGCCACTGACCCCCCACCCCACAAGCCTTGATCGGGCAGCCCAGGATCCCAGCGCCTTTTCGCACGACCTGCCGGGCACCTGCAGCAGCCACACGTGTGGGGCACAAGCAGGGGCCCCTGCTACCCTCCCCCACACCCGGGACCTCCACGACTCACCCTGGGCAGGAGGTGGGAGGAAGCAGCCCCCCTTGCTCTCCCCTGCGCTGCTCCGCCACGATGCAGGACGCCGAAGAAACAGCCCAGCCCAGCCCAGCCCAGCCCCGGGAAGCAGCGCGTGGCCCCTGACCGCCCCCGCCCCGCCAGCCAGCCCGGCCCGCGCACCCGGCCCCCGCCCGGGCCTCTCCTACCTGGCAGCGAGGCCCGCCAGAGCTCATGTCCGAGTCGCGCAGCAACTGCGGGGAGAGCAAGCGCAGGTGACGCGGCGGCTCGGCCTCCTCCTCCTCGGGCGGCGGCCCGGATCTGCGCCGGGCGCCGCTCGCTCCCCTGGCCGCGCGGGGCGCCGGGGAGGCTCAGAGGGGGCGGCCTGCCTAAGGCAGCCCGCCCGCGGCAGAAGGGGCGCGACCCGATCGGCCGCGGGCGCGCCAGGCAGCCAGCCCGGGGCCGGCCTGTTCGCGGACCGCCCCCGCCGCCTGCCACCGCGTCAGGCCCGGCCGGGCGCCGACCCACGCGAGGGGACCCTCGCCCCGCCCCGGAGGCGCAGCTGCGAGGCGGGCGACCCCGAGAGGGGAAGGGGAGGCAGCCCCGCCCAGCGCGGAGGGCGGGCAGGGCAGGGCAGGGCAGGGCGCGCCGGGGCCCCGGCAGCGGGGGAGCCGCGCGGGCCGGTCCCCCGCGCGC